TAACAGTTAGTATAGTTATTATATTGTTTTATTATAATATCAGTATTTTTTTTAACTGTTGAATCAAAGATTTCAGTTTCTTAGAGTTCTTTTGCTATATATGTATAATACGTATATATAATGTTCAACGCACTATGTATTCGTACAGAGGAGTATAGCCTACAATTCGCATGTACGAAAATTTACAGCTCAATATAAATCAGTGAATAAGTATTCCTCCTTATAATTTATGTAACACTCGTAGACCGTTGTTGGAGGGTAATGGATGCCCCCGCAGATATCAGTGGTTGCCGTCTTTAAATTACTCACTGCTCAGGAAGCAAGCACCGCTAGTGACTGCTAAGCCACTTAATGTTTCTCACACTATTAAGATAAGGATGTTCGAATAAAAATTGCTTTTATCACGGTTAAGCTGTAATTGTTTCTAGTACTTCCTAATCGTGTTAATTAATTTGGGGATACGAGATAGGTAGTTTGATTAAAATATGATAAGACCCTCGCTATTTCGTTTGGGTTCCAATATAATATAATATGTATAACTAGTTGTGTAACAGTTATTTTTAAAGATTCATGTTTAATACATATTATTTGTAATCTTTACCGGGTTTTAATATGAATAATTTTATCGTAAACAAGGGTTGATATTTATTTCTCTCAACGTTTCGACTAGGTTGTACTAGCCGTAGTCACAAATTGACATCAACCTGCCGTACCACAGCTCATACCTTTATTTACCATAAAACTATTCTTGTTAATACTCGTTTAACAATATAATCAAATCAAATAAAAAATCGTCAAATTGTTTGTACTAATATTCTTTCCTCATAAATAAGTTGTGTAACTTTATAATGAAACACCATACTCTTCTGTAAAAAATATATTAATTCATAACGCTGATAATGTTATCTGATTGAACAGAGATTAAGTGCGTAGCGGTTTCTATGTTGATTGTCGCATGCCTAATCCTTGTTAATGTATATATAATTATATCAATATTTATTTAAAAGGGCAACGCATAAGTTTCTTACTTGTTCTTTTTGTGATGAGTCTGCATTCCGAATGAGCGGTAGAATAAAAAAAAATTACTACTCAAAAGTGCTTATATTAAGTTTATTTGAACAAAGATTATTTCTATTTCTATTAATAACATATCTTCACGATTGTTATCCTAGGGTAGTGAAATGCATTGGTAACTGTCGACGTTGAACGTGAACGCTATACTTTTCATGACCATTGACTGGGTGTATTGTAGGGGGTAAGTTTAAAGTCGTCTTTTGGATTAATTGTTTTTATTATTAGTATTTCCATCACCAAGAGACAATCAAAACTATAATTAGGTAGATAGAGTTTTATTTTGATTCTGGCGATTCGAGCGAAATTCGAACTCACGACCATAGTTTTTATGTCGGTTTGTAAACCACTAACTAGCCAATACATTCTAATAGTACTAAAATACATAAATAGTTGTCATATTGTATAATGTAGTTTTCAAATACAAAAAAATCTATTTTTCAAATAAGCACAGAAGTTTCGGAGATTATCCTCCACGTACATACAAACTTATAAGCCTAATTCTTTAGGTAACAGCAGTTACAGTAGATAGTTGTTAGGTGATTAATGGTGATTTCTTATACAAATGAATATTGGCTCGAGTTCAATTTACTAAGAGAGCTCTTTATTATCAGCTGCACGCAGTTAAAAACATATTCTAATTAAATCAAAATTATTTGGGCTGAAATATTATCTCCTTATTGTATAAGGTATATTTAACTATAAGTGCTTTAGATTTTTATTACCACTTTTTATACTACCTTTCATATCTCAGTATTATGTAGATGTATATACATCAATTTTTAATAGAAATGTGTTAGATTTTTTTGGGTAGGCGTGAGGTTTATGTGCATACCTAATTATATTACATTACAGAGATGAATTGAATTACAGAATTGAAATCATGGCAAGGGACTCTTACAATATATAAAAAATTGTAAAACCTCGAGCAAGATAAATCCAACTTGATATCACTTTGCATACTTATATGACAGCAGAAATAGTGGCAGACAGTATTTCTGCCTAACACAGGATATAAGTTATTCAGATTAATTTTTTTCATGACTATTCATCTAATATACAAAATTCAGCATATAGAACACACGTTCTTTACATACATATCGAATACCTACTTTGTATAAAATATACCCAAATAAGTACAGAAAGCAATAAAAAGCCGCGCGGGTTTTTTTGCAGAGCTCACGAAATTTTCCGTACACAGAAATTCATACAGAAAATGAATAGAATATTAAATTATGTTGGTCCGCATTTTGTAAAACTGACGAAGCTTCTTGTTAAGCTTTCAAGAAGCTTTTACGTTAATGAACTACTTATAAAAAAATGTATTGACTCTTCATTAAATATGTCTTAGAAATTACGTATAAATAAAAAGCGAAGCCTAACTATTGAGATAAAAAGAAGTATTTGATTTGCTTTCTAATATCAATACATAACACACCACTTGAGCATACGGTTCTTAAATTATAGAAAAAAAAGAAAATATTTTATGCATTTTTACACAAACGTATTGCATATTGCAGGATTTACATGTAATATTTACAAATATCCATCACTTTACCTAAATTTAAAATAAATTAAAGGAACTTCAACTTTCATAACAGTTTTGCATTAAATTCTGTTGCATAGTACTTTGATGCAATTACAAATTCAATTGTCAAATCAACAGGATGTATTAAGATTTCAATAGGAACACCAGAAGTATACCCCTCTGTCTCACCTATTTACAGCCTATAGCCTACAAGAAGTTTACTTTGTAAACTATGTTTCGGTTGTAGGGTACATAGGGTAGAATGAAGCAGTGAAATTAAAGGATAAAATGACATCTTAGTCCTGTAGATTAGTAAATTATGAGTGGTATCACAACACTTCATAATGTGATATTATTTACTATCAGGTGTGTGTAGATATTATATATGGTATTATTATATGGTACCTAGAGATTTTATTAGAAGAGAGTGGTACTAAATAGTTTATTTAAGATCTTACTAAAGGATTTTATTTGAATTTTAGATTGTTTGTCAGAAAATTTTATGCAAAATTATTCAAATTCGATTTTTCGTATAGTCAATATAAAGTTTTGTATAAATATAATATCATATCTATAATAAAAAAATACAGCAATATTAAGAGAAAGTACAGTTTGAAGTGGGCGTAATACAAGATTCAATATTGGTCTGTTATTATTTTTGCAGTATGTATTCTAGTACAGATTTTCTTATATATTACTAATAGTTGAAGATATCAATATTGATTTTATATTAGGTAATGTGGAAATACAAACAAATTAAATAGTATTCTTCTTAGAATTGTACTTGAGTCATAGTATACAACATACTATCAATTTATTTAAAAGAAAAATATTTATCTAATATATAAATTAGGAATGTTTATTAAGAAAGTTTCTACTTCAGATGTTGTAAATTATTTAAGAACTTATAGCATATATCCAAAACTGCTCAAATTTTAGTTTATTTGAATAAAGAATTTCATATTCTTTTCTGTACTTATAATATTTAATTTTTCTGTGATATGCAAAGAAATGCTGTATGTACTCTGTTAACGAATGTCGTTGAATACCTAGGGTTAATAGTTTTTAACTTGGAAGTCTTATTTTCTTTCATTATTACAAAAGTTTTTATCAACTCGATTCTATTTTTAAAAAACTTTTTCTTTTTGTGCAACATACATATGTTATATGTTATGGTTTTATGATCTGATTTAAGATTTTAAAGAGTCTCCGTAACGTATTGTTTCCATAATTTAAATAAAATTAGTGGTGTTAGTTAAAAAAAATAGCAAATGTTTATAATTGTATTTGGAAAAGCTAACCTTTACCCTACTTTTAGGGGATTAAATGCATGAATTTATTGATTTTCATGTACAAATCTAACCACTGAGTGGATCAAATTGGGATTCAGTATGGAGCTTTTGATATCTATTGTAGCATAGAAAACTACTAGAAGTTTTATTTTCGAAATTCATCTCATAATTTTTTTTTTAAATTCCAATTTAACCAACGAACATTAGACCGTAATTCTGTGAGTAAAAAAATATTTAATTTATTTCGATGAACTTCAATCATCGTCTTATTTAAAAAATATTAATATGTTTATTACTTGTTATTTTAATATATATAGCTTAATTTATGACCTGTGACAGTGACTTGTGTTGTGTTCATTAACTATAATTTCTTTTTTTTTTCTCTTTCTCTTATCCGCTCTTTGTATATTTATAATGATTAGTGAATTCTAGATATGGAATATAAATACTAGAAAATCTAGTGGCAATCGTAATCATCGTCGTATAGATAATAAATAATATCAGCATGGATGGGGCTGAGATAGTCGACCTATTACGATGAGTTCGGCCATGTGCTTACTGTAAGGAATTGAGGAATATTTTTTGAAAGTATATGAAGTTATGGTATAGTGATATCAGTAAGGCTAGAGACTGATCTTTGCACTCATCATATCTGCATACTCCGTAAAAGATAGGATGCGATGATTGACGTTACACCAGCTAGTATACACTGCGTTAAACTTAAGTATTAAAATTTATTTGGGTTAAACTTTTAAAATGACCTTTTTGCAAACGGAGGAATTTATTCTTATTATGTAAATTACTTAGTAAACTATTGATAACTTTTTAGTCTGTAGTCCTGATTTATTACACAATACACCGTTATAAATAAAATAGATATCAATTGACGAATAAACGTATTGCCTACATGTTACCAACACGGGAATATGAACATTGCGATTGCAAAAATATTCATATATTCGAGTTTGCATATGTAATGGTTTCCAGGTAAGGGTTACCTTTTTGCAAAATTTCAAATTCTAATCAACGTGTGTTATATATTTTTATAAAAAAAATGTTTACGCATAAATTTAATAGTAATCTGTATTTAATGTAACAACAATACTCACACAAATTAATAAATTTAACATTGAATCATCTAAAAGTCATAATGTGCCTGGTAATATGGATATATGTAGAAAATTCGTTTATCACCTTCTGCACAGCACACTTAACAAGTTTTTCACTTAAAAGCTCTATTAAAATCAACCAGTTTGTTCTCTATATCAGACAAACAAATTTCTTCCATTTCACTTCCAAAGTGTACCGCTTATATCGTACTGTTTATTTGAAGTCAAACAGTAAAGTTTTGTATATATTTGGAATGGAACACATACGGGAACTAAACTCGTAAACTCGAATGAGAAAGTTGGGGAGTAACGTCATACAGTCCCATCGCGTGGTTCAATTCGCACTGACTTTGTTCGGTGTCATACAATGCGAGCAAGCGACTTGAGAGCGACGACGCTGCGATTCATGCGCGTGTACTGTGTAGGAGGAGTCTTCTTCAAAACCACGCCTACCAAGAAGCTACACATTTCTTTTTCAATATGTGTAATTCAATTTCGCTTATGTCTTCGCTGGGAAAGTTGATGCCCCGTTGTCGTTCAACACGATGTTTTTATGTAAACTGTAATGTAGTTCGCGAACCGAGTCGGCCCGTGATGCTACGCTCCGTGAGATTTTCTCTTCTCTTTTTGTTAGCAATTTCACGTGCTGTTGCTTATTTATATTTAGTGGAGTAATATAAGGAGCTGGCACAACTTTTAAAGTTGGAATAAAAAATGAAAAGGGTTGAGACAATAATAATGAACTATATCTATAACAATGAATTGCATGAATAATTTTAATATGTATTATAATATAATATACTTTCATTAATAAGAACTATATATAAAATTTTGACTTAAATATATTTTAATAGGTAATAAGACAATAATGTGTATAACAACTAAAAGAAAAGAAGTATTGGTTGCAACTAAATTTTCTCGTTTGAATAAAATATGGTCCAAAACAGCTCTAAGATAATCTTACGCATGGCGAAGAGTATGTTAACACCATACTGCGAACTGTAAAGGAATTCGCTAAATTATAACAGTAAATTAAGCGGCAGTTTCATTTGCGTTACAAAGTGAATTATGTGTCGGTGTCTTAGTTCTGTCACCACCTAAGTTACTACGGTTCAAAATTAATACAGTGCCATAAGCCAACGCTAATACCGCTGCGCCCTGGAACTCCTATTTACAGTATCAAATTTTAAGATAACCAGCAGTTAAAATTGGACCTTATTATTTGACATATAAGAGTATTTGTTCAAATACTTATTATTTGGCGGAAAGATCGTTTTATAAATATTCAATCATTATTAAGTGAACACCTATTTGTTTTGTGTCGTATGTAACAGGATCCTAATGACGACTGACATCAATTCTATAAATTACACACATGTACCATATGCTTTGACAAGTAAACAATTACCTTCAATATTATGATATAAAATTTTGATGAATAGATATATTAATCATTTTACAATATCCTCTACTACACTGTCATTGTTTACGTCGACTTGTTTTTTTAGTATATCATCACAATAATTAATTATTCAGTTTATGGAATCAAACATATATTTACCTAGCCATTGTAAGTGTATTTATCTATTTATTGATATTCCAGCATTAGGTCAAAGTTAGGTTTACTGACATTGTAAAAAAACATTTCTAATCTGTATGTGGTATATAAGGTTTAACATACATATCTCTCATTTTAAAATTAAAATTAAACTTATACTATTTAGAAATATTTACTAGTTTAGAATTTATCGATGCCATACGTATTATAAGTAATTCTGTAAAAATGTATAAGAAACTTGAGTTGTTTACAAATAGAAGAAAACAGTTATACTGATTTACAATTTTGAATAACTTAAATTTTGTTAGTTTACAAAATAATATAATAATATCTAATTTATAGTAGAATCTATTATCATTAAAAAACTATTGTAAAAGAAGAACATTTCAATAAAACCAAGATTTGAAAGAACAGAGATATCTATCTAGCTTAATAGCTAGGTAAATACTCAAGTGAGTATTTGATCAACGTCATACCATAGCAGTGGACTGAATCTTCCTTTTATGCGGAGAATCCCATACTTAGTAGTAGCATGATAACATGTTATAATGATAATGGTGATAAACTCGTCTAGTCCGTTGTAGCATACATGTAAAAAGTATGTAAATAGAAAAATTTATTCCTATTAGCATTAGTACAGTTTAAAACAGCAACACTATTAAGCCATTATTATGGTTCTATAAAGTCAGGATTACGGTTCTAATATGAATCTGGACTAATGGCCATCCTGGAACCATAACAATTATATTAGTAGTACTGACAAGTGACTCCATTGCTGGCAGTGTATTATCTATGTAACGTCGACTTCGTCAGGTGTACTCTATTCTGCTTGGACATCCTGGTTAACTCTCTTTGTGGAAAAACTAACGTGAATGACCTCATATTCAGCCAATCATCCTTCACTGGTGCTAGCTAAATACTGTTTAATGACTGCGAAGGCGGGGGCATCATACCAATTGATCCATTAAAAGCATGTACATGACATCCCACAAGGAAATAAATACACGTGTTAGTACTAGAAATGTTAATGTTATTTTACAAATATTTTTGCTTCAGCTAAAAAAGTAATGCTATAAATATTGATAGTAATATTACAGCAAAACACAGAAAACCCTTTATGATTTCTATAAACCGATTAGTAACAGCCAATTACTATTAAAAGCTATCTCAGAATTCAATAAATGACCTTGAATCCTACGTCCTTTGCAGAGACGGTGACCTTTTACAAACAAAACACCATCAACAATTTAACAGTACATTTTTCATGCAGCCAAGAAGCGTAAGCCTGACGTAATCCTCAAGTTTGCAGTAGATCGGCTCGAGTTAAAGAAAGCAAAAGGGGACGATCGCCGGCGCCTCCCTTGGGCCTCGTTTGTGCCGGAGCGATTTCCACTGCTCGTTCTATGATTAAGTCAACTCTTGCGGGATTCGAAAGCTAGATGATGCTCGATGCTTGCTTCAACGTTTTTAATAGAGCTACGGGTATACTGAGTGTCGATTGGATAAGTTTCGACTGAAATATAATGTACTTTATTATCTGTTAGAGTAGAAAGTTATTAAATTTTAAAACACGTACGAGCATATTTGTAAGATAGGATTTTATAGAGGTTAGGTAGACTTTGTACAAAATCATCTGCGTGGGTTGACTCCTCTGTGTTACCTATACCAGTTTCATAAGAAAAAGGAAAACAATCACTTAATTTGATTTATACAGTTATATTTTAGATGTTTTCTGATTGTAAGAAATACTTGGAACTTAAAATAATGATGTTGGTCTGGCAGTTTAGCACACGGCCTTTCGATGACTGCAGGTTTGATTCTTCGCACGGAACAGACCTTTGTATTCTTGGATAGGTATAATTGTTTGTATCAGTCTGAGCATTGTATATGTATTAAGAAAAAAATGTATCTATATATTATATTTGTATATACAGTTGTCTAGTGCCCATAACACAAGGTTGGGAATTGATAATGTGGCGTTGTGTGAATTGTCCTGAGATATCATTATTTCTATATTATTTCTCGTTGAGACACCATTTAACGTAGAATGGTGTGATGATATGAGTATTTTTATTATATGTGTACAATGTGTTTGAACAAATTCAAACACATTGTATACATATAATAAAAATACTAATTATTGTGCATAAAACTAATTATCCCAAATAAATAGCAACCTATATAAACGAGAAATACCAACTTTTACCTGTAACTTATATTACTATATTTCCCATACAGTTTCATTACAGGTCCAGCCATAGCAAATAAACAAGACAAAAAGCAATATGTATTGTATATATCAAAAGTTGTTCGTCAGAGAGTGAATACTGTTTATTAAAACTGAAAAAATAATAAAATTGAACATAAATATCGCTTATTGGAAAGAAAAACAGCATATGCAATAAAGAGTAAACAATGCATTAAAAGTTTGGTACATGAAGTTGTTTCTTCTTCCTGAAAATATATTATATGCTACTTTTTAAATACTGTAACATTAATCTAAAAATAAGTTCTAAGGAAGAAAATTGTATTCATATTATGTCTTTTTCATTGCATACTAACATATAAACTTATCGTATTGTTTATAGTAGCAAATTATATATAGGTATATAATATATAGGTACTTTTAATTATCATTATGAATTTACACTGAAGAGGTGATTATACTGAGTTCAAATTTGATCGATATCAATACAAACTATGTCTCAATTTATATTTGTGACTGACTCATTAATGAAAAGTAGGTAGGCACATCCCCTAGCACGTTGGATTCAAAAATACCCAGCGAAATGTTGCCATGTCAAGTATTGCGTTCACCGCAATGTATGAAGGTGGTTGATAATGCCTCTGAATATCCTATCTCGGATATCATTTCTAACGGTATTTTTGATACTTATGTAAAGTAAAGTAGTATAAAAGAACTGAATACAAATGAAGGTCTAAAATTAATAAAACTTACTTCTTCATAAATAAAGAGACAATTATGGTAATACGCATTATAATCACGGGTTTGAAAACAGTTACTTTCTAATAAAACGACAAAACTTTAGACAATTAAATATTAGGAATAAACATTTACAAGCCAATTACCAATCAATGGTACTAGCTGTATGGTTGAATGTTTTCGCAGAAAACATACTGTAAATTTAAGATCTTCCTCATTTTGATAGTCCGTTGAAAACATCGATTATTTATAATCAAGACGCATTAATCCTTTGAATATCTTTCCTGAAGTTTACCCATCCATCAAATTTTTTTTTATGTTAAAACTATTTCTTGACCCTCGTTTGCTGTGTTTCATTATCTTACGGATTGGGTTTCTATATTATAAGATTCATATTATGAGAATATAGTGTATAGATAGACCGTTATTATTACCAAGGCGATTACAGTAGGTCATATAGATATTACAAAAATAAATCTATTAAATTTCGCAAGTACATTACTCAATTAATTGGAATGAACATTAAGTGATTCTCTGAAAGCCAAAAATGAATAACGAGACCTTCGACAATTTCGTGGATAAATGTTCTATTTCACATAAACAAATTAAACACAGATTTTGAGTTTCTAACCAATTATTGTAACACGTAATATTTTCTGACAATTTGCCAAAACAACCTGCATAAGTTAATTATAGAAACTAATTAATTGAATGAGTTTGTAATTGTATTAATAAAGTGGAATCCCAATGTTTGGTTTCAGTAATATTTTATGCTGATTATTTAATATAGGAAGGTATAACGATAATAGAGAATTTCATCAATCT